AATATATTATTCCTCTTGACTTATATGGGATTATTAGGTTTTTTATATCCCAAGCCAAAACCATCACTCACAAACTTTAATAAGGCATATGGTTCCTGAAAAGATATTTTCTTCTCTACAGCCACCTGGAACAATATGCTTTTTTAATTAGTTGTAATATTTATCCACGCCTGATATGTCTTTAGCGAATTGCACGTACACTGAAATTCGAGTTGGTATTTGAACGAGCACCTTGAAGATGGCACAGGTATTCAGTGTTTGACAACGCTTTTACCAGCAACTCCTAATACAATTCGTACCCACCAAGAGAAATCGAAAGACAGAATCGAGGACATCGGAAGAGTGTATTTGGCGATTACTAATATATCGGAATTTTCTGATCTAATCTGGCTAGCGATTACGGTAGATGTTGAGCACAGCGTTACCACACGTGATCTGATGCGGATACATGACCGAGAGCCTTCAGCTAGGTGAGTCCACTAAAACTAATCTAGTCAGCATCCAATGTCGAAAACTTACTGAACTATTTATTTTTGGGATTTATTTTCCGCTACAACCTATTTGTATATTGACCAAGTTGTTAATATTGTATATATTCTAGCAGGATCTATGGTAATCCTATACAAAATGTGCATTTTATCAGCAATTACAAAACAAATCTTATCCGACAACAAGTTGAAGCCGCTCAAGCGGAATTTCTCGAAGATATGTATCTACCCTAGCCAAATGCACTTTTTGTAAATTTATGGAGTTAATATCTGTAGACCTCATAGAACTAACCCGGGTCACACTTCAATACATGCCATTTACACTGTGTGACGACAAGCTTCCCGTCACTGCAAAATCGTATTACTGAAATCATCTCTAGAAACCTTCTTATACAACCTTCTTACACTGCTACGCGCGCTATCTAAAAAGGACAGTGGTATTGTTTCTCGTTGAATTAGTTAACTGTTTTGATCGTAAATTACGTATCCAAACTACGATTTACGCTTTAATTGAATCTACTACAGTTAAAGTGATATTCTATTGAGTTTTTTTGGCTTTTGTGTATTTATTACATTCGAAAGCATTCTTGGTCTGTATCAAAGTACCAAACTGTTTGTTCCCTGTGGAGGAGGGAATGCAGTGTGACGAATGCAATAAGTGGTTCCACAGAATGTGCACCCGTTTAAGTCCCACCTCATACAAAAGATGTTCGAAGCCTAACTCACATTGGCTTTGCATGTTTTGTTGTGCCAACAAGGCATTACTAATACAGGAGGCTATGAGCCTATTGGCTTTGGCCTGTAAGAAGAACGATGGCATATGCGCTGACAACACGGGCACTGACAGTGACGAATGTGTGAGTGTAGTACCTGCTGTTACGCGACGCCTCAAACAACCGACTCTGACCGACGTAAAAGTGAAATCTTCGTTGACATTAACAGGGGGAGTAGTACCACCTGGTACTGACATTGTTAATAATGCACCCTTTGTGGGAACCGAAGATCTGGAAAAAACAGTCACCGTTCCAAATAGTCCCAGTGTTATGAGGGGTGAAAAATGGACTACGGTACGTAGGAAACGAAACGAAAAGAAAAAAGCTGTAAGCAGTACACAGGTAGTGGACTCAAATTGTGAGCCAAAAATTGCACTACCAAGATCTGGTGGTAAGAGTGAAACCCATCCTGGAGCGACTGAGAAGAAAAATCTAATAACATCGAATATTATTGTGAGCAAATTGCTGGAGTCAAACGACCCTGATCCGAAAATTAGACACGCGTATGACTTAGAAAAGCTAAGAGAATACATTCGTCGTATTTTACCAGATAACTCCAAAGCAGTTCAGGTCACAAAATTGGTAAGAATAGGCAAGAGGACCGAGGGCAATGTTGAACCACATCCATGAAGACTCCTTGAGGTAATCCTAGGATCGGAGAAGCAACGGGATGTCTTGTTAAGTAGCGCTCGTTGTCACGACAATTCTGACATCCAAGTTAGACCGGACATGTCTCTCGAAGATAGAATAAAAAGGAAGTAAGCACTAGCTGAACTAGAAACCCATCGGCAAAACGGCGAAGAAAATCTCCGGCTAGTGGGTTTTCGGATAGTCAGGTCTTGGAAGCGAATGCTACCAAGGCCTGTGTGGATAGGCTGTTCTACTTAGGAGTTTTATATGCCAACGCTCGTAGTTTACGAAATAAGTTCTATGAACTAGAAGCACTAGTGGACAGGTTAAAGCCACTCATAGTAGCAGTGACAGAAACTTGGTTAGTCCATGACTTAGACATTACTCCAGAATTATCCGGATACCATTGCATCAGGAGTGATAGACATCAATGTGGAAAAAGAGGCGGCGCCCTGTTATATATAGCCAATAGCATAAATATCCGCTCCTCTACTAGCGAATCCCATGGTAGCGGCACTTGTGAAGTCATTAGCAGTAAGTTGGTTATAGGATGTAGTACATTTATGCTAGGTGTCATCTATCCGAGCCCAATCTGCTTGGCTGATGGCTGTGTTTTGGAGCACATTCATCTTTGGAGTGAAAATACCAGATGCTTGATAATAGGAAACTTTAACGCATCTTATATTAGTTGGACTGATATGACTTCAGAAGGATCTATAAACTCCTTTGATAGTAGGTTCCTGATGACAATAATGGAGCATGCACTAGTGCAGCATGTATCCCAACCCACACGTTTTGGTATTAACCAGGGTTCTTCTCTGCTGGATTTGGTAATCACTCATGAGACTGAGGATATTGTCGACTTAAATATTCTCCCAACGTTAGTGAACAGCGATTACGCTGTTTTGTCATTCATGTTTAGAACTAGGGACATGTTATACGATCAGGTTACACCTCGCCCAAATGTTTGGAAAGCTAACATATCAGCCATTCAGGAATGCGCTGCTAAGACAGATTGGTTAGCAGATACTAGCATATCAGTTGAAGAAGCATGGTCTGTATTTAAAGGTAAATTTAGACTAGTTACGTCCCCGTTCATACCATACCTGGTACCGCGAAGACCGAATGATAGTCCATCATGGATAACTAAAACGGTCAGGAAACTCCTTAGAAAAAGGAAGAATCACTGGAATATGTTCATCTCTACTGGCTTAGAACAATACAGATCCAGTTATTGTAAGATTAGGAATGCCTGTAAAGCGTTAATAAGCAAGACTAGACATTCATACGAAAAACAATTGGTTAGGGATTCTAGATATAGTCCGAAACGGTTATTCTCGTATATAAAAAGGCGAACTCAGAGAAGCGATGGAATTCCATCACTTTTGATACGTGATAATCCGTTAATCTTAGCAGAGAATGATGCCGAAAAAGCTGGAGCTTTATCGGAATATTTTAGTAAAGTGTTTTCTATCGGTAATGAGGAACGACCAATGATTCATTGCGACCGTGACGGCTCGCTGATGGATCCTGTAGTCATTGAGAAAGGTACTGTTTTAAGGCTACTTCAGCATCTCAAACCTGATAAGTCCAGTGGTCCTGATGATATTCATCCTAGGATTACGAAAGCCATATCAGATGAAATTGCTGAACCATTAGCGATACTATTCGACATGTCTCTGAGACAGTCCAGACTTCCTAGAGACTGGAAAGACGCCATAATAAGTCCGGTGTATAAGGCTGGGAGTAGGGATTTAGTTAGTAACTATAGACCCTTTAGCTTAACTAGTGCAGCTGTGAAACTGATGGAGAAAATCATTCGGATAGCTGTTATAAACTATGTTGAAGGGCAAAATCTTTTCTCCAGGGCACAACATGGTTTTCGGAAAGGCCTATCATGCTTGACAAATCTTCTCATTGCACGAGAAGATTGGGCTGCGGCAAAAGATCGGAATGCTCCTGTGGATGTGATTTTCATAGATCTAAGTAAAGCCTTTGATAAGGTTTCCCACTCTGGTCTTAAATTCAAACTGAAACGTTTTGGAATCCATTATTCAGTCGTCGATTGGATAAGTAACTTTCTCCATGACAGGAGACAAAGGGTAAGGATTAATGGGGCTCTCTCCTCGTGGGTACCTGTAAAAAGTGGGGTTCCCCAAGGCACAATCCTAGGTCCCCTTCTCTTTTTACTTTATGTAAATGAATTGCCAACTGTAGCAAAATCATCCGTTCTACTTTTCGCTGATGACATAATGATTTGGAGACCCATACATAGTATGTCGGATAGAGTAGTATTACAGGACGATCTTAGCTCATTAGTGGCATGGTTAGACAGGTGGTCACTAGAGGTAAGTCCTAATAAGAGTGTAGTGATGCAGTTAAATAACTCTGATAAATCGTATGACTATACACTACGTGGATTTGTGCTACCAAAAGCAAGAAACTATAAAGACTTAGAAGTTATATTAACCAATGATCTCAAAACGACTAGTCACTGTAAGGCTGCTACTGCAAAAGGCTATAGGGTATTATGGTCAATTCGTAGGTCTTTCCAGTATTTAGATGATGAAATGTTTGGATTACTATACCCGATTTATGTGCGACCACATTTAGAATACGGGATTCAAGCAGCGTGTCCTTGTTTCAAATATGAAGCAGATGTGCTAGAAAGAGTCCATCGACGAGCTACTAAGATGATACAAGGTCTAGCTGGCCTATCTTATGAAGACAGACTGAGACACCTTAACTTATTTCCGTTATCTTACCGTAGAATACGGGGTGATCTAATATTGACCTATCGTATACTGAACGATGACCTTGGTATTAACATGTCTTATCTTTTGCTTCCGTCTAGAACCGATCATTTGAGAGGACATTCGAAGAAAGTTCAAAAACCGAGGTCAAACCGTTTACGTCTGGAGTACCGTTTATCGCACCGAGTAGTGAATTACTGGAAATCTACCGGAACACGTAATATCAGCACCGTCTGTTAAAATTTTCAAAACGAGATTGGACCTCCATAGTATTACAAACTGCAAAGATTAATATAGGTCGACAGACCTTTTATCCTTATTACTGAAAACTGAAGACTATGGTAGTTGTTGAGCATCAAGAACGCGGGAAAAATGATAATCTAAAAGCAAAGGAAGATAGGAATGTACACAAGTAACAGTAGTCACGAGAGATAGGCAAGTAAAACCCTGAACCCCAGATGCTTTTATGGCACTTAAAAAAATGTAGTTGAAAAAAATAGAACTGAACGTGTTGAAAACTAGGAATCTTAAAAATATTGCTTTGTGCTCCAATGGTACCCTTTAAAAAGTGTGAAATTCTCTTCAACACGAATATAGCAACCACCAGCTAGGTTAGTTACTTACTGGACGTCCAAGTGTTTCATAACTATTATTCATTTGACATTAACTTTTCACGGAGATATTGAAATTAGGACAACGAAAAGTACTTTACAGGGCTATCTGTCTTCAAGGTCAGGAGTGTGATTTGCATTCTCATAAAACTATACTTCACGGACGAGCCAGTCAAAATCGCGAATGTGAAATTCAAGTATCATGTGTAACAAGCAGCAAAAGCTCTTTTGTATGCTGCTAGAAATCCTTAGAAAATATCGTAAACTCACTTTTATCTATCATTGATTAACGTTAATCTATCAATTGATACTGTTAAACCATCACATGCCTTTTTTTGTCTCTTTAAATTGAGTATATGTAGCCCTGAATGGAAAACCCTACTTTCTAATCCTAAAGTAAACCTTAAGTCGATCGCCCCAAGCTCCTGACTTTGGGGAAATTTAGGGGAGTTCTGGGGAAATTTTAGGGTTTTTGTGTCATTTCCCCAAAACTTACAATAGCGGCTTCCCCAAAATGTGCTTAATTTTCCCAAAAATTGGCAGCTTGGAACGTTACATATATTTATCTAAACTAGTTAGACATTGCATTTTTAATAAAGTTACTTCATTCATATAGCTACAGAGCAATTTTGAGTAGTAACCAACGTCATTTCGTGTTAAAGCCTTGACCTCTTTCGCAATTTTTTTAGCAGTAACTAGGGCCAATATAAAGAACTTAAGATTTTTTTGCGTCCTTATAAATATTTAAAAAGATAAGCAGTCTATTTCCATGAGGGCAATTTGATGTTTTTCCATAGTTTCAAGTTAAATGACCTGTGGAAAACGTCAGTAGATTCAATGTTTACTTAAGACCGGCTCACGCTAGCAATACTATTGTTTTCTTTTCCATGGACTACCCATTAATAAACGTCTTTTACAATTGTCTAAAAACTGTATTTTCAGTTCTAATCTTGTCCATAAAGTGTGCCTTTGCTCTCATGTTGAACTTATTACTTTTCTATTGTTACTGAAATATATTTGAATCATCGAGCAGAAATTAGCGAGATTAGATCAAATATCAGATATCTTCATAATTTAGGACGACCTCCAATAAAATATTGGTGATATAAGAATTTTGGCGATTCACTAACATAGAACAAAAAAATGAATAAGGTTGTTTTTAGATAAACATCATCATATATCAAGTGTCTAACCAATCCATCTTAAAATATGATAATCATAATGTATAAAAACTTATTACCCAGTACTCTAATGATTTTGTTTTCTAGAATCAGTTGACTACCACTTTGATAATTTCCTTTCTATCATATATGGTTCATATTTGAATCCTTTTCTGTCATAATCGACTTTTCAAATAAATTTCATCTGTATATTCTTTGTGTTTTTTTCGAGTATTCTCCGCCTTTTTCAATGTCATTCACAGAACTTATTGCCTTTGCAGTTTTAACTGAAAATGACCTCGTTTGATGCCGAAAAATCTGTAACTGATGTAAGTTTTCTTTATTATCCAGTATTTTACATTTAACTTCACCAAGTCTTCCTTTTTGACTCGAAATTGACTGTCTAATTTTCATTATTTAACTAAAACTGTATCTTAAGCAGAACTCTGTTACATTTGCTTTTGTTGTGCACCCAAATGGTCAATTTTCTCTGTTGATATCGGTTATTTTTCGGATGTATTATACAGAAAACCATTGAACACAACACATTGCATGTTAATCCTACCATAGTTATCGGTTTCATCTTTGTCCTTCCTGGGTTCCACACAAAAATATCTATGAAAATGGCCAAACAACCCCCATTTGATAACTCCGTTTTATACTGTTAAGTCGAAAATGTGGCGCATATATATCTGGTGCCCCCTTGTACCAATATTTATATGTTCAGATAAATAAATAGTTAAGTCGAAGGACTTCCCATAAAAGCTCGTTGTGCTCAGCCTTTATAACAAACATAAAACAGTCACCACCTAGAACCTGGCGAACTGTCATCTACTTTTGCAACTTCAAGTGGTGTCCGTCAAGGCTGTCCGCTTTCTCCATTTTGTTTAACTTCATCATAGACCTATTGATGGAAATAACACTCTCGTCGACTGAATTCTCGGGTATTGATCTCCTTCCAGGAGGTCCACTTATCGACTTAGAATACGCAGATGACATAGTCCTGTTTGGTGAAGACGCTGACAAAATGCAGAGTCTTCTGGTAGCACTAAGCAACAATGCCAGAATGTTTGGGATGCGCTTCTCTCCCTCTAAATGCAAGTTGTTGCTTCAGGACTGGTCTGCGTCAACACCTGAACTAAGGATAGGGAGTGAAGTAGTCGAACGCGTCGACAACTTCACTTATCTTGGAAGTCTGATCAGCCCTAATGGGTTGGTGTCTGACGAAATCTCAGCACGGATTCGAAAAGCTCGTTTGGCTTTTGCCAACTTACGTCACCTTTGGCGGAGGCGAGATATCCGTCTATCAATAAAAGGACGAGTATACTGCGCGGCAGTCCGTTCTGTCTTACTTTACGGCAGCGAAACATGGCCTTTAAGAGTGGAAGACACCCGTAAGCTACTAGTATTTGACCACAGATGCCTTAGAAATATTGCTGGCATCTGCTGGGATCACCGGGTAAGTAATAGTGAGGTTAGACGCAGGGTATTAGGGAATGATGGTAAATCAGTTGATGAGGTTATGAATCTTCATCGACTGAGATGGTTGGGCCACGTATTACGTATGCCTGAACACCGATTACCACGACGTGCAATGCTAACCGGGGTAGGGGATGGTTGGAAGAAAGTTAGGGGCGGCCAAACCAAAACGTGGCATCAGTGCCTGAAGTCACTAACTTCTAGTCTGAGCCATGTTGGTAGATGCAGACTACTTGGTTGGGGTCCGCGTGACTTTCGTAACCAATGGTTGGAGACTCTTGGTGACATGGCTCAGAATCGATCACAATGGCGTCGGTGTATACACTCCCTGTCTTCCCTTAAACTAAGAGATTAAAATCACTTCATATCTTTCTTTCTACGAACTAATTCTTTCTTCCTATACTATATCCTTATTGCAACCTTTGACCTAACCACTCCTATGAATCCGGTGTTCATCTTGCTGTGCTAATGAGGTATGGCAACCTGGACCGATGCACATATGTGCCTGGTCCTACGTTGTAGCTGACTGACTGATCTAGAACCTGGTACATATCTACGTCGGTTCAAGTCACCATATCCCATTAGCACAGAGAAATTTTCAGGTCAAATCCCAGAATATTAGAGGTAATAACAGCATGAATGGTAATGGTAAAGATTAGGCATCGAAGATACGATTCAGGAAAATATAAATTAGTGAAAAATTTAGAATCTAAGAATCTGGGGGAGGACAAAGGACCTTCTTACAATTGATTGATCACTAGTTAGTGACCAATGTCATGTGTGTCGGGTCTTCCTTAGTGGAGATCAAATTCTACCAACCAAGTTGCAATGTGGCCACTAGTCACATGCAAGACAAAGAGGAAATGCACCTGCACCACTGCAGGCGATTTTGAGCCATATCATCCAAAGTCTCTAACCAGCGGTTACGAAAATCATGCGGACCCTAACCAGGTAGTCTACACCTATTAACATGGTTCAATCCAGTTGTCGATGACTTCATTGATTGGCATCATGTTTTTGTTTGGCCATGCCTACCTTCCTTCTAGCCTACTCCTGCACCAGAAAACACCACCAGACGAGGTATGCGGTGGTCGGCCATACATAACACATCCCAATCATCTCAGTTGACGAAGATTTACAACCTCATTAGTCGATTTCCCATATTCACATAGTATCCTGTTCCAAACCCGGGCATTGCGTACCTCGTGGTCCTAAATTACACGAGCGATACTTCGTGGACTTCTATGATCGAAAACCAGTAGCCTACAAATATCCTCTACTCTTAATGTCCATGTTTCACATCTATGAATTAGAACAGTGAAATACATAGTAAACTTGTCCTTTGTTCTGTAGACGGATATATCGCCTACATCACAAGTGATGCAAGTCGATCAAAGCAGAAGGAGCCTTCCGAACCCGTGTCGAGATTTCGTCACACACCGAACCATGAAGACTGAAAAGACCTCCAAGATGAATGATGTGGTCGGTGCGTTCAGTCACTTCACTCCCTATCGTTAATTTGAGCGCTCACGCAACCCAATTCTAAAGCGACATTTTACATTTGGAAAGGAAAAACCCCATCCCATACATGTTTGCATTGTTGCTTACGGTGGTCGGAAGACTGCATTTTGTAAACCAGTCAATCTCCTGGCTGAACATCGGTCCCTGAAAAGTCAGATGATAAAAGCGTTTTCTCTAAAAGCATGTTTATGAAAAGGTTAAATAGAAATATAGAGAGGGAAAGCTCTGACAAACATCAATCGAAGTAACCAAATTCAATAACAGTTCTCCATAAGCTCTGACGCGACTAGTAGTGTTTGAGTGGCGAGCACTTACAATGTTAATGTACTTCTTTGGTACGCGTTTCAATGGCAGACACTGCCAGAGAACCTCATGATCAACGGATTCGAACGCTGCCTTCAGGTCAAGGTATACAACTAAAGTTGGACGTTGGGAAGAATGTCTATGTTCCAGAATCTGCCGAATAGTAAATATTCAGTCTATGAATATACGTCTGTGTCTGAAACTAGCCTGGTTCTCTTGCGTTTGCTATTCGCGAGATCTAGTTAGACGTCGAAGTATTATTGAGGCAAACATTTCTGATGCTATATTAATTGAAATGATTTCTGTGATTGTCATGAGATGAATTTTGTTCTTTCTTATAAACTGAGATCGAAGCCAGTTAGGTGGGATTACGTTGAGTTCCCAGATTTTGGCTAAGATAGTTAAACTAACTGATAAGACTTGACCATCATCCTTAAAATTATCAGGGGTTAGTCCATTGGTCCATCAGACTAGTGGTGGGGATGGTTGGAAGTTGGGGGGGCAAACCAAAATGTGATATCAGTCCACAAAGTCACTAACTTCTTGTCTGATCCATGTTGGTAAATGCAGACTACTTGGTTGTGGTCCGCGACTATCGTAACTAGTGGTTGGAGACTCTGGGTGACATGACTATTAGAAGCGGTATGAGGGGGTTGCCACTTCCTGGTTGCTTACACCGTGGAAGGATAGTTAATCTTGAGGGACATGAAAATACTGGATTAGTGGCGGTTCTGGAGACCTGTATATGTGACCACAGTGCCCAAGGGACGACTGCTTGAAGTTTTTGAATGCCTTAGCTCCGCAGTTCGAAAGGCTCTACGACCGGAGACAAAAATCCATGGGGTGAGGTGAAGTGTGACATTTTTCTAGAGTGTGCCTTTTCTAATCAGTCTTCTTGTGATCATTAGAATGCAACTTATGACGAATTTTTCATCTGAAAATCTGTACTCATGAGCTTCTCATTTTTCTTCTGTAGAATATTCATACTTTTAGTCTCTCTCCGCATGAGCGATTCTTAGAAGCCTTCTGTATTTGTAACTGACTTCAGTTTTAACTTTTTGAGAAATTCATACTATTGTTTTAGGTTGTAGACAGGTGAAAAAAATCCACAAGTCAATTCCTTATTATTATTCTCCTATCCCTCGTCTTGTTCCATCGAAATTTATAATGAGGGACAGTTTTATCGAAAATTGCCCGTTCACAACAAATAATCCAAGAAAAGAACTTTGAATGATAAAGTCTGTTATATACTCACTAACTTAATTCAGTCGTGTCACTCTGAATGGATCTTTAGTCCAGTTCCATGTAGAATGGGTCAAATATTGAACCTTCTGTCGTCCTATCGAGTTATTGTCATCATTTACTTTGACTAGACATGTAACTCAAAATTTAGTGTTCAAATATAAACCCAACTTCTTAGTTTCATCATTTTATTGGATAACTCATTGTTAGTCTCTTGGTTGGCATTACCAAATATTTACAGTCACATATACGCTGAAAGCTAAAGGATAGAACTTTCTGTGACAGACAATTTTCAGAAAATAAAGGAAGGGCAACAATCCTAGCGCTATAAAGTCAAACTGATTTGATAGTATTATCAACTAAGCTTATTCGTTCTAGACAAAAATAACAATTTTTTAAAAATAATTTATTAATTAGGAAACATAATCAGTATGGTTAGAGCCATGCTTTTAATAATCTTAATGGAAAGCTTAATTTTGGCTGAACATTAGCTACTACACTCACATGTTTATTTAATCTTATACATTACAACAGCACCATTATGTGAATAGTCTCATCAAACATAACTCCGATTATCATTATCAAAATGTATAGTGAATACTTTATCAACTCAAAATATTTCAAACTTTATCCTTTAATTACTGGATGTGTTACTTTCATATAATTTAGCCGAATATCGAGATACAATGGGCTGAACATTGTTTCCGTGATGCAGAAGATTATTTTCGCTTACTTTGTTCAGTCTCTGACCCCTCACAATTAAGACTTACTGCCATAGATGATTTCATATACGACAAATTTATGGGAGAGTTTAGTGATATACAATTAGACGTTATTTCTGAAGATTCTTTGAAATCGGAGCAATCAAAAGCAGTAAGTCCCTTATTACTTTATATCAGTTATCCACAAACGTGATCATTGTCGAAGGAATTTCTAAGTTAACTATGTGTTGAATCCCTGTAGTTACGATCACTCTAGAAACAAACAAATATTCGAGTATAACTGAATTCCAAAGTAGTACATGTATATACTTTGTGTAATTGTGGCGCACTATCCAAACTGAAGGATTAATTTTTTATGGTTTATAACACATCTCATCTATTTTCGGTGTCATATAACATTACTGTCTCACCAAGCTCAATATTTTGTGAGTGAATTTTGTTTAGTATACTTCAGTTTTTCTGGATACTTGCCATATTTCAAAAAACTAAGAGATAAGCTGTATATCAGCCTATAGATATATTTAACCTTCGACTTTCATAATCTAACTAAACTTTTTAGTTTCTAAAGAGTATAGTGAGAAAAATTAACTCCATACCAGTGTGTACTCGTATGGTAGATGTATAATTCTTAAAAACTACTATTGTTTTCGATTATTTTGTAGTCTGAAAGAGTTAGGAGTTCCTTTTCTTTTAAGTTCTAACTGAAGAAAGATGTCAATCCATCCTTAGAATTTATCGAAATTGTAATAAATATATATATATATATATATATATATATATATATATATATATATATATATATATATATATATATATATATATACTCACTGACTTCCATCAAAAGCTCGACCTTATTTCCCGTTTGATTTGCTCTGACACATATCTGCTGTTGATTTATGTATTCTAAACGCTATGTCGAGCAGCAGATACACCGATCATCGTTACTACAGTGACTGCAAAAGTCTTAGGAATTAACTACGTTTTTGTATCTTTGTTTTCCCTACAATCGCGTAATGGAGTTATTCTTGATCCTTTAGAAATGGCGATCATTTTGCAATGAGTTTGAAAGGAAAGTTGAAGATTTCAACTTCGGTACTTTATTGAGACTTGATGCCTCAAAAGGATACTGTCCAGAAAACACCTGCATCGGTAGGATATTTTTCTATTTAAACGTTTTTTGTACAGTTCCTTGCCTTAGAAATCGCACGTAACCGCCTTGGGATCAATAACACTGAGAAGCTCAGACAAATACAGGGATAAATTTGTACATATCTTGTATATTTTTTCTATAAAACTTTGTAATTGGCCTTGTTTAAAGACTTTATTGGGATTTTAAAGATGATGGATCGAAGCTCACTACATGTATGAATATTTTTTAATAACATCAAAAACAACTACGCTACTGATCACCATACCTTGCTAATCAACCTCATAAATAATTATTCCCACATTACTTTATTCATCGAATAAGCTCTTCTACATTACAACTACTTAATAGTTAAATTATTGATGTAGATAATTTATCACCCCTTTGTTCCAGACTCAATTCTACGTGCCTGATAATGCAATTATGACAAAAAGCAATTAAAATCGAGAATTTTGGACCAATAGTATTCTGCTCGCTGTTATGTTAAGGATCCCATCTCGCATGAACTCTCGGGTGTATATCGCTAACTAATGCTGAACCGGCACGATAAAGCTGCCTAGTGTTTTATAATATCCTAGGAGATACCAGTCGTCTGTAAATCAACTTTAAAATCTCAGAAGACATCTTGCTAGGTCGTACTTCTCTTCACGGTTTTCTACATATTGTCGCTGATTATTTGATTCTGTCATACCATCGATGATGAAATGTAGGTTAGTATGTCTTGAGGACGACTTGTTTAAAGTAATCAAATCGGGATGATTTTCTCAGCACTAGCCAGTGACTATAGAGAAATTCTATGTATTTAGTAATTACGAGGTTTTAAAATAACAGGTCTGGTGTTTTCCTCATACTACCTATTTGTAATCCACTAAAGACCAAGTGAAAATGCGAGCGCTACCCTTATTCAAAACAAATGATCATAATTAAAACCATCTCACGGACTACCAACAACCCAGAATAAAAGCTAATAGCTTGATTCACTAATGACTGCTCTTGGTTTTTTCTTAACCTTATTCCTATCCTAACGATTTATGGTCATACAAAGCACATATCCCTGTTACTGTAGTCGATGGTAAGTTATAGAGCATTACATATAGTAGTAATTGGAATTAGTTGAATTATTACACAAATTAGCAATCCCCGAAATGACGCGATTTAGACCAAGAAAAACTAGATGAGTACTAATGGACGTATTGTATTCAGAATTCAAAATCAGGCGGACATCATTAGTTCATACAAACACCGATCCGCCACAGCTTAAATGTCTGTCCGATTGTGTACTGGACGTAAACTGTATGATCTAGAATATACTCATCAGTATTAGAATTGACAACTGAAATTGGAACAGGCTCATCTAGGTCCTGGAATTGTATACAATCACCATGTCGGTTGTGTACTGAAACAACTGTTATCTAGAATTCGTACCGCAGATTTTTCAACACTATCTCCCCACACGAAATAATGTTAGATCCCCATATCCCCAAGTTAAGAGTAATGTGGTTTCCTTTAAAACATATTTCTCACATTGATTAGAGGATTCATTAGAAGTGACTTCATGATAAGTATGAACAACATTCGATATGAAATCACACGAATTGTAATCAAAATCGAGCTCCTTTAGGACTCGTGCTTCGCATTGAACAACTTTCCCACAAGAAACAAATGCATTATGAGGACAAATAATGTTTGATATAACATTAAGATTTGATTCTTCTGAAATATTTTCTTCAACTCTATTAAGAATATCATTGGAGATTAATGGATCATTAGAAAAATCAGCAACTATCGAAACTGCATCGGATTTTCTATCATGATTTGATCCACTCAACGCAGATTTGTAAGAGACTTCATCAGAACAAACCATATATGGTACAATAACATGAGATTTGATGCACTCGACATATATGTAAATGATTTCATTAGAAATACATGAGTTATTAAAACAACGCATATCTGGTAAAATATTACCATTAATCTGATCAGAGTATGATTCATTTGAAACGTTCAACTAATTAGGATCAGAATTACAAAGTTTGGCACTACTTGCAGCGAAATAAATCCTAGTATTACAAACTGACCGAATATGTCCAATCTAATCACATCTGAAGCATTTAGAATTACGAAATTAAATAGGTGAAACTTGCTATAGAACAAGCATTTACTTAACTTGCGCTCATCTTCGTGACCTACTTCGCAACTTCTCAATGAATTTTCCGAATAACCTTGATTACGCATGGGACTGGGACGACGAAATGGAATTGCTGATGTTCCGACGAATCATTTTACGAAATTTGTATACTTTACATGGTCTAGTAGTAGTTCCTTGAGAGTTGCATAAGAAAGTGGAGTAGGCTTTTCCAGAAATGCCAGTTTTTAATTAGCTATAGGCTTCTTTTCCGATGAATATAAGGAAATGAGCCGCAGTATTAGCATCCTCGACATCTTCCTTGGTCATAGTCCATATAATCCTCAAGAGCATCAAAATCTGAATGTATGTCCAACTGCTCCATCACAAAACTCTGCTCGCGGCACCAATGTGGTGATTAGAAGTATTTGAATTATTATACAAACTAGTAATCCCAAGAATGACGCAATTTAGACCAAGAAAAACTAGATGAGCACTAATGAACGTATTGTATTCGGGTACAAAGAAATAATTAGTCCATACAAACATCAAATATTTTAGACGAAGATACAGTGATTTGCATATAATCAACGCGCACTACTCACCAGCTGCACCTCAAAGCCCCTAAAATTGCACTCCATATTACATCTAGGTAAAATTTACTAACACTGCCGACCTGTGTTGTCTAACAGTTGAAGACCCTAAATCAATGCCCTACAAACGTAAATCAAAATAGGGTTTCGGACAGGTCTACGTTGGCCTATGTTCTTAGACTAGACAAACACGACGATATGAAAATAACGAAAATTGACGTAACGTATTAACAATGATAAATGCAGGTGCTTTAGATCTAAAACAAGGTTCGGGAAGGCGGAGTAAAAAGGTTTGTATGAAAAAATACTAACAAGATCGAGAGGAAGACGAATGGAGAGATCCGTACCATCATGAATGGATCTGTGCTATATCGCCAGAAGTTTCCAACCATTGATTGCGGTGATAACTCAGACCCTTACCAGGTAGTCTACATCGACTAATCTGGCTCAGATTAACAGTCAGTGACTTTATAGATTGATGTTGCGTCTCAATTTGACGCCCCTAGTCCTCAACTTCTGCATCAGCAAGCATCGCTTGTCGTGGTTAAGCATAAGCAGCTCACGTCCAACTTCGACACTGCTCACCCGGTTGGCCCATAAAAAACGAGCGATCCTTAGGAAACACCTATGACCAAAAGCCTTCAGTTTAACGGTCTTTCACTCCAATCAACCATGAGCATTATTAGGGTTTGTAATCCACTCGTCGTATTCAATAAACCGGGTTCCCTGTGGCTATTACAAGATTCTTCACTTGTTGAATATTTGAAAATCATCTGAGCTACCTGCCCTGCACATCCTGACTCCATTACATATAAGTGGATTGGTTGAACACTATGTAGCTGATATTTTCTCATCTCGCTTTCGCTGGCCACCATAGGCTTGGATCTGTTTTGCAACTCCAATATTTATTGATACATCAAAGGCTTAGTAAATTACAGTGCCTGCTGGCAGCCAACTTAGCATCGCCTTGGGTAATTTTGAAGGGAACAGTAATAACTTAAGCCATATCACATTCGCATACAGATACATAAATAACGCTACGCGTTATGTCATACTAATAATAACTAAGGGACGAATTTTATCTTACGTTTAAGTGTCCAGAACACTACACAACCTGTCGTATTGCATGTTACAACAAATACGCGTATGGTACAAAAAAGAATGCTCGGTTTTCTACGTGAAATGAGATGTAACGAAAGTCATTTATCTATTTTATTGAAAAATCCACCATAAAAACAAAGTAATACGGAATAATACACGCACACAGGGAAACGAATTCATAAGAGCGAAGAAAATGCCCTGATAAATCTAGCGGATTAAAACAATTAAATGCTGTTCAGAATGAGGTTATAAATTGAAGGCAAGGATTTTGAAATTAGATCTTTTAAGAGTTTTGATTACGATCCAATTCAAACCATCTTGGGCGACAAATCAGCGCATACGATAGTTAAACATTTTGTCGATCGACGAAAGTTCTCCCACAAATTCTACTTTGATGTTGATATCAAGATCACGCTACAATAAGGAATAAACAAGCAAAAACAATTCCCACTTGACGAATGGTATTTTTGAGCTTACCACAAACAAAAATATTAGACAGTAAGTATGACAACTATAAAGTGAATAGAGAATCAACTGTAGCAGTGTGAATTGTTTATTTCATTTATCTGCTTATACATCTTACTTGTTAGATAAGCACTATTGTTCGGTTTGGAAGTGACTGTTGATACATGTAGTGAAATATTTCATTATACGTTGAAAAGTATCTTCAGTACATTATTATTTCAAACCCTTTCTAGTCCACAGTAAATCAGACTTCATAAGCACACTGAATCAAAACTTAAAACTTAGTAAGAAAATCCAGAAACTCACTGAATATGAAATCATCAGAAATTATATTATGATCGATAATGCTGAATAAATCTGTTCACTATTTCCTGATGGTGTTGAAAAATATACAAGTGTGACGCATTGTTTGATGTAGGTACAATACTACGAGACTCAGAAAAATAACATTAACAGTTAGAAGCTAAAATTAAATCAACTCACGTTATTTCGTTCATTCGGTTTAATAGACATCACACCGTTGATATGTTCTCCTTTCTTGACAGTTAGACAGTCATCATCGCCATTATCGAGATAAAAAACTGTTTGTTTCCAATGTGTGTAGCGGCGCTCATCAGGACCTTGTTATGACAAAAATATGTTATTAACGGCCTTAAATTAATTAAGAAATGAAGTATTGAAAAAGGAAAGTAACTTGGGGATAAAATAGAAAAACGCTGTCCAGACATACCTTTCTATTTTCACATCAAGGAATGCAGGACCGTTGTTTAACGGATTAGGTATAAAACTTAAGTATTTGAGATCCAGAGATGTTTTACGCACTAAGGGTCAACGGTGCCAAGTCAGTCGATATAGACTACCTGAGTGGTCACCGCGATCAACGGTTGGAAAATTCAGGTGTAGCACTGAGTCATTCACGATGGTGCAGATCCCTTCATTAATCTTCCTTTCGATCAAACTCTTTTACTCCGTCTTTCCGAACCTTATTGTCGATGCAACACGTTATATCAACTTTTTCATTATTTTCGTCTCATCATGTTAATTTAGTCTGAGAACATAGATCAACGTCTATCTGTCCGAAGCTCCGTGTTAATGTCTGAAGTAGAAATTCAATACTTTTGCTAGTCAGTGCTATTTCAGTCGTTAGAATGTAGAACCCAACACATTTTGTGCGTCGGCTTACATTGTCACACCACATTTGTGCAGGAGGCACCTTTGATATGAAGAATACCAATCTAAAATCTACGCAGAGAGATGTGTGGTCCAGTTATTAATAGAAACTATTATTTCCTTATTTAGGATCAATCCATATCTTCAATCGGTCTAGCCTGACCATCTGTAAATACGTGTGAGTTGAAAGTCTTATCGCTGTCTTCGAAAAAACTTTGTCTTCTAACTCAGTATAGTTACTTTAGTTGAGCGTGTGTAGTAGATCAAAACAAAAAGCTTTATAAAGATAAATTATCTGTAATATCATGACTAACTGATAGATTGTATTCGAATATTAGCGGTGGATAGTGCTCGAGAACATAAGATGGCTTGTTACTGCACAGTACAATACTGAAACAGGAAACGTTTGTTAGTTCCAGTGTATAGCAGCTAGAGATCAGCCTTCCAGCATAACTATTTTGATTCTATTATTTAGATTACTATACTGTTAATTTAAACTAACTTAACAAAATTTCTAAAACTGATACTACAATGTTAGAGGAAGTATACTGAGGTCGAGATCTTTTTGGCATAACACACATATCACCTCAGTGTATAAAATTTATACCATAAATTGGTCTCTATTCTTTACTCAACTATTTAAGCCAGATAGCTTAGTAAACCAACTGATCATTTTGAGGTAACGATTAAGATATATCTTGACAAGATAACTTGATTGCAGATCTACTTATGCTTAAAAATAAACAAAACATAATAAACCAATAAAGGGTTTCATAGAAAAGATTGAACTAACCTGTTGAAAATCCTGTAGGTTTATGGCAAGAAGTGAAGTCTATGTTGAAAAACGTAACCAAGGCTTGAATATAATCATTCCTTTTGCAGGTAAGTGTGAATGGTGCACTGAATGTCAATTCGGGAACCGTGATGGTATACATGTCCACTTCCTTGACTAAACAGCAATTAGTCACAACTTGGTTAGGATCAACAACATCAACCAAAGGTTCTGTAAGTGCAACTTTTCTTATACAACTCATGTCAAAACCGTACACGCTGTCCCACCCTACAAAAGGCACAAAAAATTCGATCACATTAATAACCAACATCGGTACTTCCTGAAATTAGTAACGTCTCTACCTGTGACGCAGTAATTACTGCTTATTCCTATCTCTGTCTTGGTATGATCCACGATACTAGATATAATCATCAACCAACTAACAGTGAAACTAACATATATTATTCAACAACGAAGCTGATGGATATATAAAATAGAGACCGGGAGTTTAAACATATGAACTTTATAGATATATAGTGAGTTTTACTGGACAAAACCATCGAAGACAAACACGTCCGATTGGAGACAAAAGATATGAAGTTGTTTGAAAATGAGATGGACTTACAGTTAATTTTTTCATCTTTGTACTGTCTATCTTCGATAGCGCACACATACAGGGTTGCACGATCAGGCATAATTATGCCACCAGGTGCCTGCGTAAAATGCAAAAAGTTCTGAGCGTCTGCAAGCATTATTATAAGACATTTAAATAGACAATATGGAGCAGCGGAAATCGATACATAATTTCGGCTTGCATTTAACTAGACAATAATGGGTAGGACTTGAAAACTTGACGTTTTAATAACTGTTGGAAAATGTGAAATATGTAGCAGTGAGATGTCTTATCAAACTACTAAGTGACCTGTAACGGTTATCTTTTAAATCATAATGAATTCACTAAATCCGTTCCAGAACCAAGAAATTGGTCTCCTTGAATGCAGACGGTTTTTACCTACAACCTACATTTACGTCAGCACTGGTGACATCGCGTCATTAGATGGAATACGACAGCGAAATGAGCGTTACTTCTAGCGATCAACTAAAAGGAGTAAAAACCAGTAAACAGGAAGATGTAGGTTAGCATATAAACTTACAAGAAATAGATTCGGAGTTAGGTCAATTTAGGAAACAACCAATTTGAATGCCGTTTAATTATTTGGAAGACTCAGGTTGTTGGAATTTGTGAAATCTTATTTACTAGTAATTGCTAGATGGAACTTGGTGAACGCTACCAAATATAGTAGATACACGTCCTACCTTAACTGTTCATCAAAATATGTCGTTATATGAACTTGTTGCTTGACAGATATATCAATGTACTCACTGGAGTAACATTCATACAAATAAAACAGCAAACGCAACTATTTCGAGAACGGAATTTCATTAAGTTAAACTAACACTACAACAGCACTTGGAAACGTAAATATTTCTAAACCTTGTAGTGTAGTACATGGTTAGTTAGGTCTGTGGATATCAAAAGTTTTTACACAGTTAAAGTTTGGATTTAGAACAACAAGAACTCCATGTGTTGGTTAGGTAGTACTTAGTAACAAGTGATAGTCACACTTAGAGGCTTGATTCCAACCAAAAAAATGGAGAATTTACTTACCAACCATTTGTCTCTGGCATAAATAACAGTATTCAACATTGACTCGTAAAAAAGACAATAACCCATCCATTCACTTATGACTATATCGACCTTGGGGTACTCCGGAGGTAGTTCCACTTCTTCTACTTTTCCTTTGATCAGAGTGATACCTGTAAAGATGATAAACATAGAATGTTAAATACCTCAATGGGGCGGTTATGCATATTCCTAAACTACAAGTTGACTTACGGTCCGCCATATTGTTAGCTCGCACGACTTCCATTGCCCGGTCAATGATGTTGGAACAATCAATCTAAAACTAATATGGACCAGAAACGCAATTACTCCAATCGCATGTTTGGCTCCAGCTTTAATTGCAAACAAACAGAGGATGGCGGTCCCACAACCAACATCAAGCACTACCTTATCTCTTACGAGGTGTTTGTTGTGAATTAAAGCACTGCGATAGGTGAGTGTTCTGATTTCATCCTTTAACATTTCCTAAAACATAATTCTCTGTATCTTAATCACGTACCTCATGAATTCCGAAATGCGCGTATGAGTCAAAATAGTAGTCCTTTGAAGTCATATCTGACGATTCAGTGGTAGACTCACATGATGTGCTAGGGGAACACTCATTTTTATCACCAGCCCCATTTTTCCCGTTCATAGTGAAACGAAACTACCAAAAAAAGGACTAACAAAACAACCACGCGCGACGACCCACTATTGGTTGCGCGCCGTTATCAGTGGTCAGAAACAAATCTAAGTTTCAAACCTCAAACTTAGCAAGACAAGAGAAGAGAACGATTTATCTATCGATATGTGTCTGGGTAATATGAAATAGGTTTCGATCACAGACATGTATGATTTTGTTGCTTCACTTCTGAGTCTGAACTGAAATTATGAAATGAGTGATCTTGGCGTAACACAAGGTAACCTCCGTCAGTACCTGCCAAATTAAAGTAAATATAGAATTTATTTTCTGAACGATTCAGCACAGGAGAATATACTAAGTATGGTAAATGATGGTCATATTCCTCTGACCCTTCTGTACTACGAGGGTTGGAAATTCGATGTCACTAGGCGATCTCAACAAGTCTTACCTTTTAGTACAAATAGTCTATCAAATATATCTTCTGACTTCTTGGCTTATGACTTCTGATTTCACTGGGTTGGCACACGTCGACCATAAAACGAGTTAATAGTTAAGGCGGTGTCAAACTCCGAATACTTGTGACATCCTTAGTGGTGAGCCTGACGTGATCTGATACACCAAATTGCAAACCATGAGACTGTTCCGTGTTAGACCATTACATGTCATTTTTTTAGCTTTCATTTTTGCAAATTGTAATTTTTTCATATTCTCAGATGTCTCTTCTTCTCACTCATTGGTAAACTTTATATTTGAAACAACGGAACAGACTCCTGAGTTATCTAAGAACATAGCTCATTCACGAACCATATTTCAGCTAATGCCATTTTGGTCTGACAACATTGAGGTTTGGTACTGTCACACAGAAGCTGAATTCCATGAGCACGGCTTAACCAACTCACGTGCACATCTCCTCGCAGTAGTAAGGGCACTATTGCGCGATTTTAACAGGTAGGTCACACCTAGGATGTTTACCAGTGATTTTTCGGAACCTTATGAAACTTTAAAAAGAGCTATTCTTGAGCGTAGAGATGTAACCGAATGACAAAGGTTAGATCAACTCTTCAACAACATTGATCTATGGCATGACTCAGCAACAGACGAATGAGAGAGGGCATTAGTCGATGGGTCTTTGACGATGGCCTGTTAAGACAGCTTTTCCTGTCTAAACTCCCTTAACAAGTGAAGACGGTGTTTGTCCCACTTCAAAACAACGCTGTAGACTAACTGGCTCCATCTGCCGGTCAAATTAAGAAGACCATCAGGACTTTTAACGCTAACGTTTATTCAGTCAAAGGAAAACGTCAAACGACGCGAAAAGACGTTACGGAACTCAGTCATACTCTGGCACGTTCCTTTCGTATTCGTCATGACCGTAAACGATCACAAACCTCCCGAGGGAGTTCTTCACGAAAACAATCTATCTCTAGATTACGAGAGACAGATAACCCCAACCTGTGTTGATGTCATAATCAGTACGGGAAATCTCGAAATTGCAGAAAACCCTGTAGTTCCCCGATCCCCAAAACCGACTGACACGAAAAACGCTTCGGGAAATTTCCCAGCCGGCAAGCGTCAACGAAAACCGTAACCGGTGAACATAGCCGTCTGTTATACGTACTGTAATTACGAAAGTCCTTCGCCTCGTCGACACAACTTACAGGAGGCAAATGGGAAACAGACCGCCACATACATCTTAACGCGGGGTTACACATACCCAACAAATGAACCCTCGTTGTTGCAGATGTGTTCCGTGCGGATCACTGGTGTAGACCTGCTACAATATTACCATCAACCCATCGACATGAGCAAACAGTTAGCGGACGGAAATGCTAATTTATCTGCTTGTGTGACTTCTCTTTCCGATTGTAGATTATCGCCAGTCACAGCAAAATATACGATCGATTCGTACTACCAACAAATACCCGATAAGTAATCTGAGATATGTCACATGCATTCGAAATTGCCGTGTGTAACCAGCAATGTTAAACGTCATATCACGACAACAGGACCATCTGTATTCTTGAAAGCACGCTGACTGGCTCCTGAAAAGCGGAGATTGACTAAAAACTAATTCGATCACATTGTAGATTTGGGAATCATTCGGCCGCCAAACAGCCCATGGGCATCTCCTTCGCATATGGTCCCTAAAAATGACAGCAACGATTGGCGTCCAACTGGTGACTGTCGGAGTTTGAATGGCTAAATCATTCATAATCGTTACTCGTTGACTCATATTCATGATTTGATAGCTACCTTGAAATTTACAACTGCTTTTTCGAAAATCAACTTGGTTAAAGCATATAACGAAATTTCCATAGCTGCTGACGACACTCCTGAAACGCTATCATCACACATGTCGGTCTCCGAGAATTTTCGCGTATATCTTTCAGCTTAAGAAATGCTGAACAAACTTTTCAGAGATCCATTGATGACGTTTTTCGAGGCATAAACTTCGTACTTTCGTATGTTGATGACTGCTTGATTTCAAGTCCGGACAGAGAGTCTCACCCTCAGCGTCTGTACATTTTTGTCGAACGACCGCAAAAACATGGAATTACTGTGAACATTCAGAAATATCAAATTGGAACGGGCTCTCTTAATTTTTTTGAACATATTATTAATGTTCGAGGCATCTGACCTCTGAAATGCGAAGTGGCGGTCATTCTGGATTACCACAATCAAGCGACCACCCACGTTTAAAGGACTAGTAAGTTTATATAGATGGTACATACCGAATTGCGCATCTCTTATGAGACCTTTAATCGACTAACTTTCCGGGAATGTGAAATCTATCAGTTTGGACGATATCGTGAAAAAACATTCTCTACAGTTAAGGAGCTGATCGCCAAAGCAACGCTACTTGCGCACCACAACACCCAAGCACCTATTAGTATTGCAGTAGGCGCATCCAACTCGACAACAGAGGGAGTCTTACGACAGTGGGTAAATCACATTTTGGCAACATTTGGAGTAAGTAAGCTATGAGCACCAATCAATACAACAATACAATACATGTAAACACTAATCAACGGACTACTAGAATGATGGGTTAACATAAGTAAAAGTCAACCGATTAAGTTAAAGTATGAAGTATGAAGATTAATGAAAAGCTGAATTCCTTTAGTTTGTCTCATCAGTATAGAATTATGGTCTAGTTCGATATTAGTACATTTGTCTTTGCCACTATAATAATAGACCTAATCCCGAAGTTGTAGATATGTCATGAAGTAACTACCTAATCTATAAGATCATTGTCTACAGTGACTCGTCCTATCGTGAAATCATCAGTATGACGTCTAGCACTCTCAAAGAATACATTCGAGCTGGAAATGGATTAATTTATTTGTTACAACAAGCTAGAGGTTATGTGGTCACGCTTGCATGACCGAGCTATGTCATTTTCCTTAATTGTTGCCGCGTCCACCACTGCTGACCTTCTCTTCGTGTTAAATGTTGAATATGAATTTTCTGTGTTATCTGACGTTCAGCTTCGGAGATCGTGTGGTTAGAACTAAAAGCACTGCGGTATCACGTGATCAAATGTTCATTATGTTTTGATTATTTGCCTCCGTGGGTGCATATCCATCAAATTTTAGTCTGTACAAAGGAATAATTCAGAATTCTGGAAGGTTTGGACATTTTGCACCAAAGATCTTAAAAGGTGGAGAAAAAATTGGCGGAAAGCCAATTAAAAACGAGTTGCCTGAGTGAAGTAAAATTGAGAAGTCTTAGGGAGTAACTATGTTGAGACGGAATGAAAGCTTTTTCCCGCTCACCATGGAGGTCTGCGGGGCAGAATTATAATAATGTAGATCACCAACGTAGATGACCTTTGTCAAATGATTGGAAGTCTACTCGAGTTAGACGGAAATCGTGTGATGAACCAGCTAACCTAGAAGACACACCTCACGTTCAGCATCTAATATGAATTACCCCTTCGACGTATCAAAGTTCTATGGCCGCTTTGAAGACAGTATAACACAAATGACGTTATTATGGAAATATATTAATAAGAATTAGTACAGGGAAGATAGCGAGACAATGACCACATACACAAGTCTATGGCATACGATTAGCTGATGTGAGTTGGTTATCCTTGACCTTGATGAGTATCGATGGTCTGTTCGATATTCAGTGACCCAACTGCTGGATGATTTGGCTAGGGCTCAGTGACATTTCACTGGCCCTACAATAGTTGTAAAATTAGTACTGAATAAGACAATTAGAGAATAGTGAGCAACAAATGAAACATTGGAAACATTTTCGTTAGAGAACAGACAAAATAAAGAGCCACCCAAGTGCAAAGAGTGGTAAAACGGAGTTGGTAGTTTCGTATGTCACACCGCCAAATTCTCACTACACCATTCAAAGTGTCGATCAAACGTTTTTCGAATCTCTATTTACAAAATATTTCAGCTGTTTGTACTGTTATAGCATAGTTTGAATTCATTTTGTTAACGTTTAAATAAAATTTTGTATTTCAATACTTTTAGCTATACAAACCTCTTTTCGTTTGTTTGTATGGCAGTACTTTGAGATGACAGCTTTTAAAATCTATGGAATCGCAGCCACCTATCTTCAACGTTGTGGTAGTATAGATGGTAGTCGTGTTAATTACACCGATGTGTTAAATGTTGTCATAGGTTAAAAATTATTATTATTAATGGCTTTATTCAGTATCGTATCTTTGGTACGATATAGAATTATCAACTTAAGATATTTCAACACGTTCCCTTTCCTTATTTCTCGATCGATCCTGACGATCAATATTGACTGATGACCAATTAGTTCAGGAATCCAAATTCGAATAGTTTACATTCTTTTCAATGAGTATTGGCAGCCACCAAGATGTCTCTAAGTGCACATTTTTGCAACTTGTGCAGCGAAAGTTCATGAACTTTTCCTAAACGCGCCTGCTCAGGTTATGCGATTAATAAACATACTTATATGTTAAAACAAACAAAATCAGGTAACTTGTTGAAATATCTAGTTGACAGGAACATGTAGCCAAGATATTCAAACAGGCCACCTCACCATAGATCTCACTATTTATGAATTTCAAAATACCCATTTGTTCTTTCATTAATAAA